CCCCCAGGGACCTGCCACCTTTCTGTGTGTCACCCCCACACGCAGAGTTGCCACCATCCCCCATGCTGAGAGCTGCCACCGTCCCCTATGAGGGAACTGCCGCTGTTTTCCCCTCTCCAACAGGGAGCTGCCACTGTCACCCTTCCTGCAGGGACCTGCCACCATCCTCCCCCCATCCCACTGTCCCCAAGTGCCCCTGTCCTCCCTTCTCAGGGGGCTGCCACTTTCCCCAACTTTCCCTCCTACAGCGACCTGCCATCTTCCCCATCCTCCTCCCTTAGGGACCTGCCACCATCCCCGTCCTCCCCCCCCACAGGGAGCTGCCACCTTCCCTCTCCCTTCCCCTGAGAGACCTGCCACCTTCTCCATCCCCTCCGCTTAGGGACTGTCCCCATCCTCCCCCCCACAGGGAACTGCCACCATCCCCATTCTCCCCTCTGCAGGGACCTGCCACCTTCCCCGTCCCCTCCCCTTAGGGACCTGCCACCATCCCTGTCCTCCCCGCCCCCCCAGGGAGCTGCCACCTTCCCTGTCCCCTCTCCCCTGCAGGATCTGCCGCCTTCTCCGTCCCCTCCCTTAGGGTCCCGCTACTGTCCCTTCCCTGACAGGGAGCTGCCACCTTCTCTTTCCCCTCCGCGTAAGGAGCTGTCATCCTACCTCTCCTCCCGCTCTCTCCAAGCACACCTAAATCCCGCTGGCAGGTCACCGCTGTCCCAACGGTGTGTCACCTGCCACCAAGGTGGCTGTCCCCCTCTCAGAGCCCCCTGCAGACCCCCCTTCTCTCCGATTCTCCCTCCTGAGCTCTTCGCAGCAGCTTAAACCTTCGCGTAACGAAGCTGTCTCCTTTCCCCTCAACTCCGACCTCCCTCGGCCGTGTTATCCACCCTCAGGGGCCGACGATCTCCTTCTCTTGGCAGTCCTGGCTCCGGAAGAGGAACAACTGGTGGCCATGGAGGTGGGTTCACCCCCTCTCCCGAAAAAAAGCGCTCCTGCCGCGCAGCTGGATCAACCCCCCACCAGGATAGGGACCAAACTCTCTCCTGAGCCTCCCGGGAACAAACCAGAGCCTCAGGACTCCAAAGGTGAGTATTTTGTCTGTTTTTTCATCATCTCTGATGGCCGAGCACTGGGGTTTTGCTGCGAGGAGAGAGCGGGCAGCCTGGCAGGCATTTGTTTAACCTGATCCGGGAGGATTCTCAGGTCCTTTTGCTTAATTAATCCTCTAATTAAGAGAGCAGCCGTGTTGTATTCTGGTATTGCTGGTTTATGTCGCTTTTCTTTCCCAGGCGCCAGCAGCTTTCCGAAGCCCCCTGGAACAGACGTGTGCTCCCTGTTCTTAAACCACCTTAATCAGTCCTTTCTCTCCTAATTGATGACGATCCCCTAAAACGATTGCTTTGAGATCCCTCTCCCTCGCTGGCTGGGCTTCGGAGCCTCACTAATTGTGGTCAAGGCTTCCAAAAAACACTCAAGAAAACATCTTCGAGCAGGAAAACCGGTCTCCTTCCACACCAGGGCAGCAATCCTCATCCTCCCACAGCTCCACTCGCTCTTCTCCGCCTTATTCCTGCCCGTGTGGAGCATCTTCACGTTCAAAATTAGAGTTTGGGGGTGGTAAAAATCCCTCAGGGGAGAGAAACACCACGGCCAGACGCTTCTCCTTGTGCCTCCTGCCACGACCGTGCATTGATTTTCTTTTTTCCCTCTTTTTTTTTTTTTTTCCCTTTCTCTTTTTAGCCCAGAACCTTACGACGTGCGAAGTGTGCGGCGCCTGCTTCGAAACCCGCAAAGGCTTATCCAGCCATGCCCGTTCTCACCTCCGGCAACTCGGTGTAGCCGAATCGGAGAGCAGCGGGGCTCCCATCGATTTGCTTTACGAACTGATGAAACAAAAAGGCAAACCCGACGGCAGCCCCATGTCTTCCACCCTCGGCAAAAAATCCGGTTCCCCCAAAGACGCCACCGCTGCCGCGTCCCCTCGCCCCACGCTCCTGGCGCTTGGCAAGGCCGGCGATCGCTCGTCGGATGGTCCCGTTAATAAAGCCATCAAATCCCCTCCCGGCTTCTCAAAAAACCTCTCACAACCGGGATCCCCCATCCTTAAGAAGGTGGCACCCGCTCTTTCGGGGTCCCCGTCTCCGAAAAACCATGAGGAGAAGAGCTCCAAGCTCTCGCTGAGCCCTTTGCAGAGCTCCCCGAAAGCGCAGTGGCCGCAGGCGGATGAGGAAGGACCCCTCAATTTAAGTGAGTTTCTTTAATTTTTCGGTGTTTTCCGTTCGGCTGAGGGCAGGGGAAATCCCCGGCTTCTCCCATCCCGCTCCTGCCTGACCTGGGTATCCCTTGGGAGGGCACAGAGCTCGGTGGAGGAGCTACGGGGAGATACATGCCGCTTTGTCGCGATTGTCAGGAGGCGATGGTCCTCCCTGAGTGGGCAAACGGGGATTTCTGATGGGATTTCAGGAAAAACGCTGGTTCTCTGCTCTCCGCGCCCTTCACATCTCTCTTCCCCGCTTCTCTCACCTCCGTCGGCTCCTCCAGACCGCAGTTCAGCTGGTGTGGAGCACACTCCTGTGCCGCGGCTCGATCCGGCGCAGCCCACTCCTCTCTCCCAATGGAGCGCAGTGGGTTTGGCCGGCGAAAGCCCGTTCCCAGCGTCAGATGTGCTCGGAGAGACGCTGCTGCGGCTCTTGGGATCGTAGCCCTGACGCTGCCGTGTCCCTCTTTGTCCCTGAGCTCTGTCAGTGACTTATTTCGACACCTCAGGACCAAAATGGTTTTCCTGGCTGCAGCCGGCTCTTGCTGCCTTCTCCCCGAGCATCGTGTCTTGCCGGGAATGTCTTCATCAACAGCTCAAAGGGCTTTTTGGTGTCTCTGGCTCATTAGTTCTTCGTCCTTGTTAGCGGCGTTGCCCAGCGTGCCCGTCCCACCGCTGGGAGCACCAACGGGCGCTTCATCTTCCCTGGTGGGAGTCGCGGCGAGTTTGGTGTTTTTCCTGCAATAAAGCAGAAGACGGCGTTTTAATATTTGCTGTATCCGCCCCTTCCCTCGTTGCGGGAGCGGTTTTAAGACCTGATATCCTTCAAAATTCCTACGGCTGGGGATTTCCTAACCCTGCGAGGTTTCTTGGAGCTGTAGTGCTATAAAATCACTCTGTCCCAGCAGCCGTCTTGCTTGAAAAGCTCCGGGATGGCCAAGGTGGTGGGACAGACTGTATCTGGAGGATGTGCCTGTGGGTTTGCCGGAGTAAAGATGCTCTCTGGAGGTGCTGCTCCTCTGCCGGTGACAGAAGATGCAGAGTTTGACCCCGCTTCATCCTCGCAGCCCTTTAAAGACTCAGAGTAGCAACAGAAAAGCACTTTGTGCCTCTCTCATAGCCAGCGCTGTAATTCCTCTTCATTAGGGCTGCCTGCTAACGAAGCCGTAGGAGCAGATGAATTCCGGTCTGGCTGCTCAGCTTGGCGGGAGCTAAGTCCTCGGCACGCTGTGAACTGCAGCGGCCGACAGATCCCGAGCTGCGGCACAAGAAATCGGCCCGTCTTCTCCCCCATTCCCTTTTACCGGCCAAAAAACTGAAGCCGTGGTCGTTCTGGCTGTCGGCCGGGGCCGGTCTGTGCGGTGAGAAGGGTTTTGGCTGCCGCCATGCCGCTGCTCCCTCTCCATAGGTCCCTTCCCAGCATCGCTTCAGCAGCACCCGAAATCCCGACTCAGGTTTGAAAATTACCTCCCCGGCGTTCCCGGTGAACTCTTTCCACCGGCGGGGATGGCTGTACTGTGCCCGGGAGCGGTTGGACAAGTCCTGCCTGCGCCCCGCTCCCTTCCACCTAAAATTATCCTGCTCGAGTCTCCTTTGCCGTGCGGGTTGAAGCTGCTGGTGTGGTTTTGCCGCAGTTCCAGGCAGGAATCTGGAATCCCAGTCTCCCATTTCTCCACCCCGGCGCAGCGCCGATGGTTTCTCCTTTCCCCTCCGCAGTTGGAGGGCGGAAAAGGACCGGTGAAGTTGCGTTTTTCCTCTAGGATATGACATGGCTCAGGTTGCGGCTTGGTTTTGGTGGTAAAACCTCTTCCTGCTTCATCTTCCTCCTCCTCTTCATCAGTGTACTGGGAATTGGTGCTTCCCAGAGGCAGGAGATGCCCCCGGCTCGAGGGCCGAGCATCCAGCGCCGGGATTAGCAGGGAAGCGCTTGGTTTAGGCATGCAGTGTTTGTCCCGGTGCCACCGGCACCGCGGTATCCAGGAGTGAGTCTTCATCCAGACCCCTTCCTCCTCCCCGCGGCATCTGGGCTTGGATGCTGCGGCGAGAGTGAGATTCGCCGCTTCCCTGGGACATGAGCACAGAAGGGACACGAGTGTCGGCGTTATCCCAGTGCTTCGGTCCATGGCTCTGCCTTCGGCCGCACCGGGAAGCTCTGCAGCTCCCCGCAGCCCCCAGCCACCACGTTTTCCTGGGATACCGCGATGCGCTCAATCCTGCTTCCGATTTCGGGCAGGGATCGGCTTTGCCACTGTGGGCTGCGTCCATCCGTCCTGTCTGTCTGTTGAGCGACACTGGTCTTTTCTTCTCTCTCTCTTTCTGCAGCCTCGGGGTCGGAGCCGGTGCGAGATATCCGGTGCGAGTTTTGCGGCGAATTCTTCGAGAACCGCAAAGGTTTGTCGAGCCACGCTCGATCCCACCTCCGACAAATGGGGGTGACCGAGTGGTACGTCAACGGCTCGCCCATCGACACGCTCCGGGAGATCCTCAAACGGAGAACTCAGCCGCGGAGCAGCACCTCGAATCCCAGCGGTCCCGGGCAAAAAGCCATGGCCAAGACCCTCTTGGGCAGCATGGGATCCTTGGAGCCTCGCGGACCCGGAGAGATTCACATCCCCACCCTCACCAAGAAGGTCCAGCAACCCGGCAGCCCCATGGGGCAATCTCCTACCTCGTCCCCACCTCCCACCGCCCGGAAGATGTTTCCAGGCCTTTCTCCTCCCTCCTTGCAGAAGAAACTCAAACAAGATCAACTGAGGCTGGAAATCAAGCGGGAGATGATGTCGGGAGGACTCCACGGAGAACCTCACCCGTCCGACCAAGCCTGGTCCCCGCGGGAGGAGATGTCTCCTTTGAACCTCTGTAAGTCCGTGGCTGTCACCTTCCCCGCTTCATCTGTGGGGCCGAGTGGGACCGCGCTCCCTTGGGGACGGGGACACGGGGGTCCCTTTTGCTCTGGGAGGGGCTGAGGGCTTTCCCCGGCGATCTGGGGGAGCCCACATCATCTTCCATGGGCCGTGGTGGTGGGCGACCCTTCGCCGTGGCTGGGGAGGAGTGGCGGGGGGGG